GTGGTTTAGAAGCAAAAAGGAAAAATTTGTGGAATTCTCTATATTCCCCTAGGAAGATTCCATGACTCTTCTGTTTATATTTGGAGTTGGCATTGCTGTTCCTAATTTATTACCTCCCAGGAAGACGCAGTTGACAGATTCTACTGAATACGATTGATGCTAAAAGCTGAGGAAACAGAGGTATTAGGAGTTCTGGCTTCACCAAATCAGAACTGAAAAAACCAGAAAGCTTGCTGGGGAGATCAGCTTTGCAGTTATCTTCAATTCTCCATTATTTCTTGATTCCAGGAACTGAAGCCTCACTCCTTTCAGTTTCAGAAACACACACACACACACACAAGTCAAAGAGTACCAGTGGTGACCAAATATAGACACTGGGCTGTCTTCGTTCTACTTAGAGGAAAGTGTGACAGAAGGTTTACAAATGGAGGATTATTTTTAAAGCCACTGGGAGTTTTCAGCATGAAGACCCTACTGGAGTTTTAGAAACGACCAACTGTATATAGTAGATTTGTGCTCCCATTTAACTTTGCTTGTTGGAAGTATGGAGTAAAAATCAATAAAGACAGCACTGTGCTAGATTATTTCACAAACAAAAGGGAACAGCAGACTCAATCACAGGCCTACAGGGGTTTGGGAAGAGTGGCTGTCATTCACTCCATATATATGTGGTTATCATGCTAGTTATACTAATTTAACTAGCAATACTGTTAAAATCATAGAGGCAATAGATTAGTCAAATTTACACACTTTTTTTGCCTATTTCCTGAATTTAATCTCCAACTTATTTCATTCTACTAATAATTTTAAATGTATGGGCAAGTTTTGGTTATTTATTTATTTATGGTGCTGGGAATTGAATCTAGGATCTCACGTGCTAGGCAAGTGCTCGGCCATAAAGCTACATCCACAGCCACTGGGTAGGTTTATTTTTGAATGGAAAATAACATTTACTGACTTAAATAAACCTCACAATGTAGACAAAATACCATGTTGTTTATTATTATGCCATTCCCCTAGCAGCGATATAATATTTATACAAAACAAGAGTTGTAGATAATAAGGCCTCACACTTTGTTCACTGATGTTCACCAGAATTCTTGCCGTTCTTTTCTCTGTGCCTTTACCATCTGCCTTGCTGACGTCTCCTGAGTCACCAGTGAGCACTTCATTGCATTTATTTGTACATCTTATTTCACGTTCCTGGCAATTAACAAAATGTAATATGGTGGGTATTCACTCTGTCTGTGTTAAGTGAAAATTTCAATCAAGAGGGGTAGAGAAAGGAGAGGGAATGTTTGGATCAGTGGAACCCTCCCAAACAAAACCATAATGGCAGACACCTGTCATTATACACTGTCAAAACCCACAGAATGCAGAGCGCAAAAGGTGAAGCCGACTATAAACTATGGACTTTAGTAATAGTATCACATCAATATTGATTCATCCACTGTAATAAACACACCACACTAATAGAAGATGTAAATAACAGGGGGAGAGTGCTGGGACTGTAGCTCAGTGGCAGAGCTCTGGCCTAGCACGCGTGAGGCACTGGGTTCGCTCCTGCACTGCATAAAAAGGTAAAACAAATAAAAATAACGGGGAATTATGAGTGGAGAGGGGAGGAAGGAGGACAATGGAAACTCTCTGCAGTTTGGATCAGTTTCTCCATCAATTTAAAACTGCTCTCTCCAAAAAACACAACAATAAAAAAGATGAATTGAGATAATTTAGGTGAGACGGTATTAGAATGTGTCTCTTGAAAGTAACAGAAAACCAAATTTAACTAGCAAAGGAAGAAAGGTCAATGTATTGGTTTGCTTACTCAAGCCATGGGAATGCATCAAGGAAAACTGGACCTGGAGATTTACGTGCTCTTTTTTTAAAATCTAGATTATAAATGCCTCAATCAGGGGTCAGCAGCTCCCAGGTTCAAACTTCCAGAATGTCCAGCCATGCCACAGTGGGATGATATTTAGGGTAGTTTAACCTTAATCACTTAGGGGAGAGGAAGAGAAGGGAGAAAGGGAGAGATGGAAAGAAAGAGGGAGAGAGGGAGACAGAAAGGCTAATTGGAGATTGGAGATTGGCCATTGACAAGACTGGAAGCGAGGAGGTGTGACAGGAAACTACTGCATTTATTCTGGCAAAAGAAGATGATGTGCAGATCTAGGAGACAGAAATACAGAGAAGTGGAACAGTCCTGGGAATATTCTGAAGATGTGGATCTCAGGATTTTTTGAGATGTTGGGTGTAAGGTGTGAGAGAAAGGGATGATAAATGACCTCAAAGTTTTTGTCTTTTTTTTTTTTTTTTTTGATACCAGGGATTGAACCCAGGGGTGCTTAACCACTGAGTTACATCCCCAGCCCTTTTTTATATTTCATTAGAGACAGGGTCTCACTGAGTTGCTTAGAGCCTCACTAAGTTGCTGAGGCTGGTTTTGAACTTGCAATCTTCCTGCCTCAGCCTCTTGAGTGGCTGGGATTACAAGCATGTGCCACTTGAAGTTTTTGTCTTGAATAATTCAAAGGATGGAGCTGTATGTAACTGAACAGAGGAATATTATGTTGAAACATAACAAAAGCTCCATTTGTAAATATGGTCTATTTGCCATCTCATGAGAGATGTCAAATAAGCAGTTGGTTATGTGAGTGTCTTCCTCCAGGTATCCTCCTCATAACATTATTTATTGACTGTAATTTTTATTGTCCAGCTCCTTCCTCTGGAATATAAGCTGCATGAAATCAGGGACTTGGCCTGTTTGGTTCACCGTTATATCCCTAAGATCTAGAAGAATGCATGTCGCATAGCAGATGCTCAGTAAAGTTCACTGGAAAGATGAATAAAGGAATGAATAGGAGAATTGAATGTTCAGTATAACAAAGTAGATTGATTGAGAAAACAGGAAGTTATGTTTGAAAGTAAAATAGCTTGCCTGGTTATTATTAAGGAGAGGCTTGCAACAGGTATTATGTATCAAACATTCTCTATGAAGAACAATGTCAAATGAAGAGACACTGAAAAACTTCTGTAAACTTTTATTTTATACTTATGGGTCACTGCCAACTTAGGGCCCTAGCTTCTGGCTCATTTCTACAAAGTTTACTTGTTGGAAAGATGTGGTAAAGGTAAAAATTGGAAATGTTCTACTAGTAAACCACAGTTATTTACCAGACAATAAACAAAATGTACATTGAAGCCTGTGTAGTTATTCAGAAATCTATAACTTTCTGAATTTATAAAATGAATTTTATATATAACAAACAAAGCATCTAAAAAAAGGACAATTGTCTAAACAAAACAAAGCCTATGATTTATATTAAAGGCTTTTATCACTGCATATTATGTACCAGCAGGATAATGGAATTAGACCACTAACACATAATGGAGGAGTATTTCTTAGCCCTGCAATTCCAGCAATTGGAACCTGACATATTTTACTTATAATTGTGCTAAAATATGATCCAAAAATTAGCTTAGCTAATTTGTCACCAGAAATCTATCTGATGAAGTTTGATGTTTTTCAAACTCATCACCACATTGAGTTGAGAATTAGAACAATCTAAAACTTTAAAGTGTAATGATTTTTGCTTTAGCTCATGAAACAACGTCACCCCAAATACTTTGACAAACCAACCAACTAAAACCCTATATTTTTAACCTATGGCTCATTCCCTCTCATGCTGCCTCCCCTATTCCATTTGCAATGGTAATATGGTCACAAGATTTGTGAACACAGGAGGTACTTATATATGGCAACTGATGAAGGAGGGTTGTCATGATGAACTATCACCTAGATTCCATTAGAGTATGTGCTTTGACACAGCCATGGGGCATGATGATTAGATTAGATTAAATCCATATGTACCACCACACTCATGCACATCTCACACTCATACACATACACACGCACACACACTCTATAGAGACAATCACAAAAATCAACTAAAAGAAACTTACAATTGTTTATATATATATGTACATATACACACATAGTAAAAGTTTTTTTTTTTTTTTCTTTTTTGCTGTACTCACAGTCTGTAAACATTTGGGAAAATGCCCAGAAAAAGTCATTGTGGGCCCTTTGAAATGGTGACCACTAGGGAGTAGGGATGAGGTGGGGATTTGGGTTCCTTCTGGTCACCCAAAGAAGAATCAAAAGTCCATGGTAGCAGTCACTATATTTCACTGACATGGTACACTTGCCTGGACACTTGGAAATTATTTTTCCTAACTGGAGAAAAGAATAACCAAAAAAAGTCTTATGGCCAGCTAACATTTTAGGAGAAATTAAGAGAATATAAGGCGATATGTGTGTCTATATACATGGATACAGATATAGATACACACCCATGTATGTTACTGTTACCAAAATCTCAGAGAAAATTTCCAAATCTTCTAAAAATATTCAATCTTTTTCTCCTAGCTATGCTTTAGACATCTAAACATTGCACTGAAAGTCTCAGGCTTAGTTTAATGAGTCATTTAAATTTTGGAACATGATTTTAACATTTAAAAAAAACTTACATTAAAAGGACATTTGGGTTTGTGAAAAACAGAACTATTGGATCCCAGCATTATTTTTGAAATTAACATAAAAATATGTTCAAGGTCTTCTGTAATAAAACACTATTAAAAAAGAAAATACAAGCTCTTAAACATTCTTTGAATAGCAGCTGTTAGACTACTATATGTGGTTACCAGTCTGTGGTTTGTATGCCTGTATTTGTTGCAGCTTTAGAACTCATGTTTTAAAAAAATAAAACAGTGAGAAACATTAATGTAATCGCTCACCTGAATATTGCTCTTTTCTTTTCTTTCTTTCCTTTTCTTTTTTTTTTTTATTTTAACAAAATGTATGTTAATAGGCTCAATCATTTCTAGGCTACCACACAGTTAAGAAATACTGGCACTGAATGACATTTTTTAAAAAAGGTGACTTAAACCCATGCTATTTGGAAGAAAAAAAATCACTTAAAAAAATAGAAAATCTAGTTATGTACTTGAAAATCCCTAATTTCATGCAAAGTAGCAAATATCCTTCAGGTTCACGTAATAGTCTCCATTCTCCTCCAATTCCCATCACTTTTTAGTGTCGAAATAATGTATGGAATATGTACATTAGATAAATTAAAGAAGTGAGATTTATGGGCTTGGTGGATATAAATGAATCCACCTTCCACTGCTTTGGAAAACATATGGAGAGCACTTTTATCCAGAGGAGGGCCTGAGTGAAGGAAGAAGGATCAGAGAAGAGACTCCTGGAGACACAGTTACTGCGTGAACTTTTTTCTCCAATAGGATTTCAAGGAGAATCAATTAATGTCTTGCAGATGGTTAGTTAATGCTGTCCTTGTGGCTGCTCCTCTCTGTGTTGTGGTTGTTCTGGTCATGGTTCTTCCACTGGATGCTTGTTCCGTTCATGGGGACTGAGGTCATCAGGCTTTTGGACTGGTGACAGCAGCAACAGAGGCATGACTGGGAGAAGGAACAGACTGTGAATAACACGAACCCACCCACCCGTTACCAGCCTAACACAGAGGCTTTGGGGTCCACCAACACGTGGGGTCCATGTGTGTGCATGTTGGAGGACAGGGAGCATGGACAGTGGTCTGAGTATGAGGCCTGTCATCTTGAGGCAGAAGTTAAACTGTCCCCCAGGAGAGAAAGGGATCTCTTGCTGCTTGTTTCTTTCTTTTTTTTTTTTTGGATTTTTAAAAAAATTTTTTATTGTTGGTTGTTCAAAACATTACATAGTTCTTGATATATCATATTTCACACTTTGATTCAAGTGGGTTATGAGCTCCCATTTTTACCCCGTATACAGATTGCAGAATCACATCAGTTACACATCCATTGATTTACATATTGCCATACTAGTGTCTGTTGTATTCTGCTGCCTTTCCTATCCTCTACTATCCCCCCTCCCCTCCCCTCCCCTTCCCTCTTCTCTCTCTACCCCCTCTACTGTCATTCATTTCTCCCCCTTGTATTATTTTCCCCTTTCCCCTCACTTCCTCTTGTATGAAATTTTGTATAACCCTGAGGGTCTCCTTCCGCTTGTTTCAATTCTACTCACAGGTGCAAGAGGAAGGGAAGGCAGTGTTGGCCAAAGGGAGCATCTCCAGGCAGAGGCCAGGGAGTAAGGCATGGATGAGAAGGTTAGAAATGGGCTTCAGGTGCATCCCAAGTGGCCCTCAACATCGGGTACCCCGTGTGATCTTCACTACAGCCCTAGGTGGTAGGTGTTACTTCCCCCATTTTATGAATAAGAACAGTGAGGCCAGAGAGGATAAGAAGAAGAAGAAGAAGAAATTGAATTATAACTCAGGACTCTAGCTTGAAATCTTTCCCTTAGGTATGCTGCCTTTTTAGGAAGATCCATTAAAAAAGTGTGTTGAATTTCTGAAAAAAATTGAATTTTCTCTTCCCCTCTAATTAATATGTAAATTAATTAGCGCGTGATATAAACTTCAGCTTATAAAATGTATTAGTTATGACCTGTGAGTTAGTTAATCCATTTTAGGCAGAGCATTTTGTATCTTGTAAGCATTTTCAAGGGGACCTCAAAAAAATATGGCAGCTACAACTTCCATACCAAGTTTCACCCATTTGTATGATTCTTTGGTTAATATGTCTGTCTCCTTTTAGATTGCAAGTTCTATGGGGGAAGTTTCTGTGCTTCCTCTCTCAACTCTAATAGTCATCTCATACTGAGCATTTTTGTTTCAAGAGGTTTACATATATTAACTCATTAAACCTTACTTATGAGATGGATACTGTGATCATCCAACTTTACAGACAGGAAAATTGAGGAAGCAGTAGGGGCACCAACTGAACTCAGATTAGATAATTAATTGTACCTTGAGCTTCATGCTACTCTGCCTAATATGCACAGTAGCTAAAGTTAAAAATCCTGGTCAAAGATAAGAAAATCCCATCAGGACTAGAACTGTACTAAAATCATTTTAGAATCTGAAAAAGTGACACATCAATAAAACATGCTTGGAGCTTCTGGCTTAGCTAGAAGGAAGTTTGAAAAACAGAAGGAAACTGATTTTAAATGAAGTTATAGTAGTACAGGTTTCCAGAGCAATAAACATTTACTGTACTTTAAAAAGTCATTACTATATTCACTGTTAAATAGCATTTAGTGAAAGCTTTCTTAATAGCAGAGCTTATATTTTGTCAAGAGTTTGATTAAAGTCTAAAGTAAAAAAAATGAACTGATTTTGTATATTCTATGTGTTCATATTTGAGCATTTATTTCTCCTCCTCCTCTTCCTCCTTATCTTTCTTTTTCTTTTTTTGGTACTGAGAATTGAACCCAGGGGTGCTTAAAAACAGAGCCTCATCCCCAGCCCTTTTTATTTTTTATTTTGAGTCTCGCTACGTTGCTTAGAGCCTCACTAATTTTCTGAGGCTGGCTTTGAATTTGCAATCCTTTTGCCTCAGCCTCCAGAGTCGCTGGGATTACAGGTGTGTGCCCTGTGCCTGGTTTGAGTATTTCTTTTTAAAATATGGTACTAAACTGACATGTAATTATGTTAGTCCTTTTAGTTTTAACTTCTGATTATGTTGTTGTCAGAATAGATAGTGCTTTTCTGTTATGCCCACAATCTGACCCTCTTTCTAGGTAATAAAAAGTGATTTTTCACTTCCCTACTGAAAAGGAGTGTAGCTGATCAAAGTAGTATGAAAATTGGAATTGGCTGTGTCTGTTAGTTACTTAATACACTCATTCAGTTGTCTTTAAGAAGTTCTTGCAAAACAGTCTTACCTGGAAACAATTTTTAAATTTCTTGCTCACAAAATATAGAGCTATTGGGTTTATACACGAGTTCATAGTTGCCAAGTTAATACCGATGTAATCCATGAGCAGCAAGAAGCTAGAGCAAAAGAAAATAGTGTAGAATAATTAGAACATATTGTTTCAAAATCTGCTAAGTAGAATTTATCCTAGGATAAGCATTTTTTTCTTGCCTTGAAGCATGTCCTCTGGGCAATTAGAATTTTTTAAAAGTGCTTAGTTTAAGTGGCAGTTTCAGATCTGCAGGACATTTGCAGATAGATCATCCCCTTGGTTGGCTCAAACCCTTATGCACAGCCTCAGGAGGGGTGTGGCAAGATTACAGACATGGCTTGCACAAATTTTGGGATCAGTTATGGGCTATGTCAGCTAAAAAAATAATAATTCAGTTTGCAGTTTTAATTTTTAGGGCTAATCAGAATGTAAAGAGGATGTAAAAATTTTATAAATGTGCAAAGCAGAGAAACTCCAATTTCTAAATGGGTACATGGAATGGGTACATGGAATCGTACCTAAGTAATTCACATCGGTTCTTGTCCATCTCATCATACACAGTTTTCTTCAAAATACGGCTTAAATGAAGAGGGAACCAGCAAAGAGCAAAAATTACAACCAAGCAGAAAACAGTTTTCGCCACTTCTCGACGCTAAAGGAAAGTAAGAAAATAAAATACGTTACATTTGCATCTTTATTCTAGATGAAAGAACTACACAAGGAAGGAAAAGACTTCAGGGGTGGAACAGCACAGAGAAGAGCTGAGAGAACAGACCCTCGCAGGACCTTGGTCTCTTAAGATTTGGAATGCAACATCAAGGTGTTGCCAAGGATGTTTTGGGGCAGTTGCCAGGAAGGAGGGTGGCTTTGTCATTTGAGCCAGGTCAGAGGTTACAAGACAGAGGTGAGCCAACACTGTGGCTGACTCAGCAGGTGAGCACATCAGTGTGTCCGCAGGTGCTTAGGTGGATGGGGGTGAGTGCATGGGGAAAGGTGAGCTATTAGCCCAATATCAGGTAACTGACGAGCATTGATGGCATGGCAGGCAAGGTGACAGAGCATGGCATGGAAATGAATGGGCAAATCTACAAAGACACTTGGGAAACAAAATATGGTAGGAAAATAGCAGAAAAAGCAACAGCAACAAGTTTTCTTCTTTTCCTCATCTTGAAGAAAGCTAGCATTGATTTTTTTAAGTTCTTTTATTAACAGCATGTAGTTTCCAAAGATATATTGCAAACAGAAGGATGAAGGCAAAGTGTTATCAGCAGTCATAATTATAAAAACTGGAACACACTGACCCCCGACTCATTTCTACTGCAGGTTTACATGCCTTTGGAGTCTGCTCAGGCTCAGAAAAAACATAGGTTAGGAATGATCTGCAGCCATTCATTTGGGCACATTATGCTTGAGTATTATACTGCATGCATTTAGAAGTCTAACCAGGGACATAAAATGCAGCTTGTCTGTAACTGGCTTCAATTAATGTCAAAATAAAACTGACTGAAAACAGGAGTTGGGGAATGAATACTGCTTCAACACAAAGCTTATAACATTAAGTCTGGGAAAGCGTCAGTAAACACACACCATCAGTTGAGCCATTTGAAAAGATCTGTGGCAGTTGTCACAAATCGTCCTTGTAGTCCAAAGGACTGAGAACTCTTTAATCTTTCATAGTTATTTGACTAGCTGGGATATGGCATCAGGGGGCATGATCGAGGCAACAAATAAAGCATTCCAATCTACAGAAATGGGGGGGCTTTTTAAAGGGTCATTTTGTGTACACAGAAAGACAGGGCATCTAGAAAAATGGAAAGGGAAGGTATTGGGGGAATGTCACCTTTCCTGAGTGTGCCAACAAACAGGATATTAAAAGGTAATATTGACAGTTTGATATTCCCTTACCATCCATGCTCCTATCTTCCTTCCTGTGATATAAATCCTTGATTTTGTTATGGCAGCAAGGGAGTCTTGCCTCCTCAACTACTTGGCCACATAACACAATTATGACCAATTAGCTTAAGTAGACAATATGTGTGGGTTCCTGGAAAAGCTACTTAAAAGTAGGGGGAGCCTTCTCTGGGACACACATGCGCATGCATTGTGTGTCCTTCCCCTTCTTGCTGCCCCGACATCAGACATAAAAGTAGAGTGGCCACGCCGTCTTCCAAGGCTGAAGGAGAGATTGGCAAAACAGCAGGCACCTGGCCTCTGAGCTCCTTGACCCCTGAACCACTGGCATCTGCACTTTTTGCAGTGGGAGAAAGATAAACCTTGACTTGATCAGCTCACTCTTATTTTGGGTATTCTGTTACCAGCATCCAAACACAACCCCTAACTGATTACATCTTTATAATGAAGAGAAAATTTGGGACAACCAAGCAAGAAACAAGGAAGAGCCTTAGACTATTAGTCAAAGACTGGCAAGGCTTCCTACTCCAGGCTAGCTTTTCCATAGTTCACCTGAAGGACTTGTAGCCAGCCTTGCTTTATTGCTATGAAAACCTGTTCCAGCTTTGAGTGAGTACCAGATCTTGGGTTCTAATCTCAGTTTGGGTGAACAGATCTCTTAACTATCAATTTAACAAGGTTAATATGTATCCTACCTATCTGTGCTTGGAGGAATCAAAATGCTATGTAACTGTGAACGACATATTATTATTATTTATTTCTGAAGTAAGTACAACTCAAAGCTGAAATAGACAATAATGATGTTAATGCAAAAACTATCATTTAAAAACACTGTTTTTCATAAATCCATTCTAATTAACTGCTTCCCTCGAAGGGATGAGACTTAATAGTTGCTTAATATATTCACATCTGCAGAATTTGAAACATTTATGCTTGGACAAAGTCATACTAAATTTTCTTAATGTGATCATACTGCCAAACGTCAATAAAAGGTAATAGCTACCATTTGTTTGACACGTTAGATTTTACAAAGTACATGCATGCCCATCAAGTCCTTTGATCCTCATAATAACATTTATTTATATGTCATTATGCTTAATTTATAGATGAGGAATTGAAGCTCAGGAAAATCACAGTAGTTGAAAAAGTGCTGTGATGAGGAAAGATGTTTGTGTATGATAATTATGTGGGAGAGATTTGGAGACTCCATCAATAACTCACATTGTTTTGGTGTGGTTGGATGTTCTTACATATGTGTCTATTGTGACTGAAAACTGACCTGCAGTCCTGGTTTTACTTTTTGAATTAATATAAATTAACATGTGCTGAGTACCTACTAGGAACTAGGCGACTTATATGCCTTATTATTAGGCAACTTATATGTCTTAGGTTATCATCATAATGTATTATTTTATACATCTTATGAGAAAATAGAACCTTAGAGTGGTTAAGCAATTTGATGAAGGTTATTAGAATCATGTTTTGTCTTCTAAAGCCCAAAGTTATCTATCTATTTGCTACTCAGGAGGTACCAACATTAACTCCCTATTGGCATATTTGAATTTCTTCTAGAAATTTGGGACCTCCAAAATTTAGAGAATTTGTTTTATGAATTTAATGCTATTTCCTTTCATGAGTCTTACTTTAGATGTTGCTTTAATGAAATTCGTTTCTTTTTTCCTACTCTCCAAATGCATTGTGCCCATTCACGTTCTAGAAGAACTCTTGTTTTTTTCTAACTGAAATGCCCTCTGTCCTCTGCTTCCCTATCAAATCCCATTTATTCTCCAAGGCCAGGCTCACTCTTGTTCATTCATGAACACTTTCTCTATGATTCTATGCCAATCCCCTCTTATTTCCTAGTGTTGTGGTTTGGATATGTGGTTTGGACCCAGAAATTCCTGTTAATGCAGAAATGTCTGGAAATGAAGTGTTTGGATTGTGAAAGTTGTAACCTAATCAGTCCATCTTAGTGGGAATGGACTAACCAGGTGGTAAGTGTAGGCAGGTAGGGTGTGGCTGGAGGAGGTGGCTCACTGGGGGTGTGCCTCATGACCCCTCCTTACCCTTTCTCTGCTTTCTTCACATCATGAGTGGAACAAGGCTCTTCCTCCACACCCTTCCACCATGATGCTCTGCCTCACCTTGGTTCAGAGTAATGGACTCAGCACACCATAGACTAAACATCTGGAACCATGAGACCAAATAAACTTTCCCTCCTCTAAGTTATTTTTGTGGCACATTTTGGTCACCGTGATGAAAAGCTGATTACCACAGCTAGTGTACAGGCTACATTGACTCTGTTTTATCATCCTGTTTCTGATTGTTTCATGTTTGTGTTTTATTTGTACAACTAGACTGTAAATCCTGCAAGGGGAGAAAGTCACACACTCCTTTCTGCCCTGGCATAGTTTCAAGCCCAATTTGGTGTATAGACACGCATATACGCTTGCTCAATACTCTTTTGGCATTATAAATGAATAGTTTTTCTTTGGGCCCAGCCTCTGGAGCCATCTGTTTCACAGGCAGGCTCCCCTGTCACAAGAGAAATCCCTAATTCTAGAACTATAAAGAAAATAGTTACAAGACAGTATTTTTTATTTTTAGGAAATCAGTCTAAATCTGCTATATACTGTGTGACTATGCATCACTTAAGGACAGTGATATACCCTAGGAAAAGAATAGTTAGGAAATTTTGTCACTGTGTACCTACACAAACCTAGATGGTACAGCCCTCTGAACACCTGAGCTATATGGTTCAGCCTGTTGCTCCTAGGCCACACCTGAACAGCATGTTATTGTACTGAGTGCTGTGGGCAATTGTAACACAACAGTGTTTGTGCATCTAAACATAGCTAAGCATAGACAAGGTACAGTGAAGATACTGGGCAATCAGAATTTTTCAGTACCACTAGAATCTTACAGAACCATTGTCGTATAGTCAATGTGACATCAACTGAAATGCTGTTACGAAGTGTAGGTCTGCTGATTTGAAGGACAACACTGTCTTGCCCAGGTTTCTGAGATCTCAGTGGATTTACCTGTTTAAGATGTTCACTGAGGGCGATTCTCAAGCTGCCATTCCTTCTGTTTAACATCTCACAGGTCATGAGGGTATAGAAGATTGCAGTGCACACCAAGGGCATGCAGAAATAGAACCCGAAGAGCCACCAGTCCTTCACATCTTGGTAGAACTGTGTAGTGAAGAGAAGGGAGAGAAAAGGAGGGACATAGTGATTAGGTTAACAGGGCAGGACCTCTGTAGCTTCAGAATCTTCCCTTGGAGATGTATTTGTATATTCATGATCCCACCTGTAGTAAAGGGCTTGGCTGTGGTGTTCAAAACTCAATTAACTTTGAAACTCCAAAAATTATCCTGTCTTGACTCTAGCACACAAAGAAACTACGTATTAAAAAAACTATCCTGACAGGGATCTTTTTTGTAAGTTTCAGTGACACAATGAAAGAACCCTAATCCATAAAAAGAATTCCCTTCCAAGGTATATAAAACATGGTTCAAGACATGTTTATCTTTATTTATTGATAAGCCTCAAATTTTGCTAGTGCCTGGTTGACTTTTAATTATTGTGGTTAAAGTGCACTTAATGCGTGTTTCTTGTTTGGAAGCAGGGAAGGTTCTGCGTGGCTTATCTGTGGAGCTTTGGGTAATGGGAGTTAACCCTTTGCTTGGTATGCCAGCTATGTGACCCCAACGCCAGATGGTTTGAGCCATCAATAACCACCCTCTCACTCCCTCTTTTAATACTGGCCACCTGGAAACTATTGAGGCAGCATAGCTTAGCCCAAGGCCTACTTAGCAAGTGCTCCCTGTGGGCAAGGATCTGTGAACCCGTAGAGTATTCAGCTTTATGTCTTTTTAAAGGAGCAAACTTAGTACTTCATAAAAAGGAAAGTTGGAAAGTGATATCCACATTTTTATTCTAAATTCATCGCAAACTTGGAAAGAAACGCTTTTTCCTTCCTTACAATGTTGCTTCAGATTGTTTATTTACTAAGGATAAATGCAGCCTCCTGTAATATTTCAGTTCCCACAGTAAAAAATAATCATGCTGCTCTGTGAACCACTGGATGGTTTCTGAATATAGAAAGGGGCCCAGTGGGTTACATTTACAGTATGTCTATTAAAATAATCTAAAAATGGTTCCTGAAGACAAAAAGTTCAGGCAGGGGTTCTTAACTATTTCTATGCCACAGACTCCTTTGAAAGTCTGATGAGCACTGTAGTCCCTTTGTAGAACAATATTCTCTCTCTTTCTCTGGTATGGGGGGATTGAACCCAGGGGTGTTCTACCACTGAGCTACATCCCCAGACTATTTAAAAAAATATATATATATTTTAATTGTCAATAGATGTTTATTTTAAAAAATTATGTATTTATATGCAGTGCTGAGAATCAAACCCAGTGCTTCACACATGCTAGGCAAGCACTTTACCACTGAGCTATATCCCCAGCCTGTTTTATATTTTACTTTTGAGATAAGGTCTTTCTAAGTTGCCCAGGCTGATCTCAGACTTGGATTCTTCCTGCTTTGACCAACCAAGTCACCGGAATTATAGGTGTGTGCCACAGTGCTTAGCTGAGAACAACATTCATATGTTTAAAGTAAAATATATACGAATACAATATCGTATATTGCCAGTTATATGGCAAGATGTCTATAAACGCATTAAAAATAAAGTTCTGATACAACATACATTTTTTATCAACAAATTAAATAACATACCTACTGGCGACTCTAATAACTATCGGAATGCTGAAGCAGTATTAAGCATAAACAATATTTTAAGAGGATACAGGTGTGATACTGTGTGACATTGTCTGCTATTTCCATCAGTGAAAAAGTCATGGCACTCTGAAATACCATTGCAGTTTGTTGCCCACATTCGTAATTGAAGCAAATGGTAACTTTCAGTTAGAAGTTAGTGAAAACAAGCACAATTTCTTTTCCATCCAAGCCCAGACCCCTGGTCAAGTACAAATTCCCAAAGGAGTTAATTTACCCAAATCTGCTTATATGAAGATTTTCATTCATTCATATATATATATATATATATATCACATTAGAGAAGGATTTAGTCCTAAACTTAAAAAAAAAAAAATTAGAAGGACTCTCTTTTTGTTTTGAAGTGCAACACTCCTTTGAGCCCCACCCCTTTGTTAGTAGCCCCTTCTTCCTGGAGCATTGCTGGCTGGGAATGACCCAAGGTCTGCAGTTGCAAAGGGCCTGGAAGCTGAGCTCTGAGAGGGTTGCTTCCCCTTCCTCCCTCCATGGCACAGTCCATTTCTTTTAAAATGATGTCATAAGCAAGGGATTGGAGAGGGCCTCAGATCAGTCAAGGATACAGCAAAACTGAGGAGGAAAGAGTGAGGAAAAGAGGGGAAATAAAATTAGGAAAAAAGAACAAGACCCAAGACTTGAAATGAACTCCAGGATACCATCAGCTCAACTCATACCCTTTCACCGCAACCCCTCGAGGCCACCCCTGCCTGCACGGTGGCTTCTCTTTGCATGATGGCTTATATAAGGAGACTCCAGTCTTTATGAAGTAACACCTCATTTTGTCCAGCTCTAGGGATTAGTTAACACCTTCTTATACTGAGCCTCTTTCCTCTCTTGCTTTTGTCTGGAATATCTAGATCCCTTGTCCGCACTGCCAAATTCTGATAACCTCCTATGTCTTGATTTTCATTGTGAAAACTGACCTGAGTTTTAAAAAAAGGGTCGGCGGATAAACAAAAGACTTCAATTTTAAGATTGCCAGTTTGGCAGTTTTCCTGAGCACTTTTAATATCAAAAGAAGAATTTCCAAACAAGATAACTGATTAACTGAAAAACTTCAGATTTTGTGAATTTTCCAGCTTAGGAAAGCATACCTTGAAATGTCTGTAAACGATTAAATGTGGAATCTGAGCTACGTGGAGCTTACATCAAAGCACTAAATTATGCTGATTTAAGAGAAATAGTTATCCTTTTGGTTCTCCTTAGTCCACATGTAACTAGTTTTGCAAAGGAAAAATGCATTTTAAATTACATAGTCATGTGCTTAAGGTTTTCAGAGAAATATTACTGTGGCCAGGTGTATTGAAGAAAAACTGAGTTTATTAAACAAAAAAGTTCTGTAGTTTGGATTGGGGATATAGCCCAGTGGTAGAATGCTTGCCTTGCATGCGTGAGACCCTGGGTTTGATCCTCAGCACCACATAAAAATAAATAAATAAAAATAAAGATATTGTGTTCATCTACAACTAAAAAAAAATTAAACAAAGTTCTGCAGTTTTATAATATTTGTGTATCACACAGAATTCACATTAATATGAATATATGCAAGCATTACTCCCTACTTTGAGTTAGAAAGCCACTCTTCAAAAAAAAAAGTAACCTGGTCCCTCTTTCTTGGTAAATGGGCTTTGGAATTCCCAGTTACTTGGTATAGAATTGTGTTGGCGGTGGTACTACAATGCGAGATGAGGTGGTGGGGAAGGAGGGAGAAAGGGAGAGAAGCAAAACAGTTGTTCTGTTCAAGAAGCTGCACTCTAGTTTTGCATCTCTTTTCCTGTGACAGAAAGATGTGTGACTGAACTGACAGACTAAGGCACACCTGCATTGTGGCGATGTCCACAAGTTTTAAGAGGGCGAAGTTTAAAGCGCCCAGTCCCCAGTTACCTCCTTTTAAGCTTTGGTAAATTTTAAAACTCAGCAAATTCAGTCAATTGTAAAAACCATCAGTACCTCCATGAACTTTGATGTGGCATTGAGCATACAGGTTTTGTGCTGTTCACCCCGGTATTCAAAGGGCACCATGACAAAGCCTATGGCTTCGGGGATGGCCAGGATAAAGGAAAGGATCCAGATGGAGACAATTTCAATGGCAGTAATCAAGGGAATCCCAATTCCTTGAACACGACTCCAGGAGGCAACTGCTCTGTACCTGGAAAGGGGAAAAAGAGGATGAAAGAAGGAAGGAAGAAAGAAGGGGTGCTAAAATCAACTTACTATGATCTTTAAACTTTTTTTCAGTTAAATATAAATCTTAAATGCTGGAAATCTCCTCCTTTTGGCCAGTGTCCCACCATTGTCTTTTTAGCACTTTTCTGAGGCTTGATGTGAAAAACCAGTAGGGCCATTAACAGTTCCACCCGTTGGGAAACCAATTGCCGGCCAGGCCTGAGCCTGAGATGGACAGCTGAGTTCCAGGGAGATCCAGAGAGTTTGAGTGTGGCAGGAACAGATAGGCATGCTGTGTGTTCTAAACTAGGGAAGGACTGATGAAGCAAAGGGTAGTGACAGCCAATGGTACTTGTTCTAGTAATATCTTATTTCTCTTTATATATTAAGAAAGAAAACTTGAAGCTTTATCCATGGTGTGGGTTTAAATATCCTGAGTAAATGGGGACCATAGATGTGTGTTTTCTCTCTTCTTCTTCTCTCAAAATATGATCACAGTTATCATAACTGTACCAGGTGGCAGGCTTAGTAAACAGTATTTCTAGTAAATGTCCAAGAATGACTGAATCTCTCTCATTATAGTTCTATGCTAGAGTACATAAAAGTGAATTAAAAATATCTTTGTTCCTATTCTTTTGGGTTTACAATCTAACAGAAAAGAAAGGTTCCTACAGAGTATGGGCTATAAATGTAACCGAACAATTATTTCAATCAAAAAAATTCTCTGGTACTAAGAAATTTTTTATTTTTTTACCTTCATAGTTTTCTGATAATAATCACATTTAAATGTTAAGTCTAAAGAAAGTCTGGTTTAGAAACTCTATGCTCCTTGACCTGCTATGATGGTCTGATGCTAACTGCTTTCAGACTTATTATTAAGAAAAGACGTGTGATGTGGCATGGTATTTTTGCGGCTTCATTCTTGAAATTTTTGCTGCTGTTGTAATGGAAAGGAAACATTTTCTTTTTGCAGTTTTCATTAGATAGTGACAGAAGGAGGCTGCAAAACAGACCAAGGCATTGGAGTCAGGTGCATGTGGGTTTGCAGGACATGCAACTTAGAAGATTAAGCAATAAAACCAAGGCAATATGTGCTACCCAAATCCACCCAGAGAAGTCCCCATCACTTGTGCTTAGTTCACTGTCTCAGTATGTCTTTAAAAACACATGGTAGGAATTGTGCTGCCTAGCTCTTCACCAGAACTGCTTAGAGATTAGAACCTATAGATTTGGATACAATTCAATTTGCTGGAGAAATGTAGTACCAAGGATTTTAGGGTAAATAAGATAGGTATACAATATAAATCTCCAGAAAAAGTCCAGATTAGTTCAGAATGTAATAAAATACAGCTATGCAAACAGACCAAGAAAATCCTTTGACAATATAGCCAAGATTGCACTTTAAAATTTATGGTTACTTCCAGCGAGATAATGCTTGCTGTTTGTTTTGCCTTGTAGTTGTATTTACTTTACTTTATTGTCTTATTGAACTGGCAGCCTCATGTCTAGGAAAAACTAAAGGGAGTGGAGACGGGATGTCTGTACTGTAAGGCTGTCAACTGAGTTACATCTATTCCTCCCCCCCTTCCCTAAGCTAAGTTAGGTGATTTAAATAAAACAGCTTATCTCCTCAGAGACTAAGAAAGCCAGATTTCTCAGCCATGGTTTGGGGAAGGTTGTTTAAGTAAGTAAATGTGGCCAACATGTTCTTATGATGAATATATTCACAGACCATTGTCATTTTATAATATGTCATGAGTTCTCAGAATAGTATACACTGTTATGGCTTGAATAACAAAGGTCCCTGTGCTAAAGGCTTGGTCACCAGCCTATGGTGCTATTGAGAGGTAGTGGAACCTTTAAGAGGTGGGGCCTAGGGGGAGGATGTTAGGTCACTGTGGGGGTGGGGTGCCATTAAAGAGAAGTGTGGGATGCCAATCCTTTTCTCTTTGCTTCCTGGCTGCCATGAGGTGAGTGGTTTCCCCCTGCCACTTACTCCCACCATGGTTCAAAGCCTCACCAAGAGCCCCCAAAGCAAAGGGCCAATCAATAGTGGATGGAAACCTCTCAAACTGTGAGCCTAAATAAACCTTTGTTCTTTATAAGTTGATTATCTCAGGTATTTTGTAACAGTGATGGAAAGCTGACCTGCAGCTTAATCTAAGCAAAGTTCAGCATTTTTATATACATAGAAGTAATATTTAGTGTCTACTTTGCCAAATGATGTATAGTCAGTCTGGTTATTTATTAACTCATATCATGGAGAATTAGCGTATTTTCAACTTGTAATCACACTAAACTTGAAAAATATCTTCATGAAATAAGGAGAATACAACCATAAGAACAAGTAGAACCAATCATTTGTGATGATGGAGATGGGGAAAGGTGTGGAAAATATGAAATCTTATGTTTTCCCAAACTGATTTCCATTTGGAAGCTAATGGCGTAATATATACAAACACAAATATACTTTTCTTACCAGGTGTGATTACAAACAGCCTTTAATTTAGTTGATATGTGTATGTATATGTGTGTGTATACACACACACATACACACACATCTTCAGTTTTCACAGAAAATGTGCAAGTGTAGATCTAAATACCATAAAAATGACATTTTGGAAAGAATCACTCCTCCATGAGATACTTTCTTCAGTTGGCTCCACTTGGCTCCTACCATATTCTCTTGCTTTTCCTTCTGCTGTACTGGCCACTCTTTTTCATTTCTTTGGCTGGAGCCTGCCCTGTCCCCAAATTCTTAGCATTGGATTTCTCCCAGAGTTTAGTCCTTGGACCTTTTCTCCGTCTACACTCTGTTTCTTGGTGGTCTCATCCAGTCTCACGGCTTTAGTATTATTTAAACAATTTATATGCTGATAATTCCCAAATTTATAACTCTAGCCTGGAACCACCTCTAACTCCAGAATTGTATATCCAATCTACAACTTGAGAGTTCCACCAGGAAACCTAATGAGCATTCAGACACATACAAGCCAGACCTTACCCCCAAACCTGTCCTCTCTGCAGTGTTCACCACCTTAGGCCCAGATCCTTGGCTTTTGTCTTCACTCCTCTGTAAATACTTTTGCAAACCTTGCAAAATCTTCCTTCAAGTTCTATCCAAAGGACCCCACTTCTCATCATCTTTTGTCTCATCACCTTTTGTCTTTTTGCCTGGGTTATTGCAATGGTTTCCTAACTAGTCTCCCTACACCTGCTTTGACTTGCTACAGCTCACCTTGGACACAGCAATGGAAGAGTCTGTTAAGTTAGATGAGGGCACACTCTGTTCCAAAGCCTTCCCAGTGAGTTCCTATCTTTTGGGAGTACCTTCAAGGTGTATGGGAGCTGCTTTTACTCTTCCTTTAGGTCTTCAACTCAATTATATCTTTCTATGGATGCCTTCTCTGGACACCCTACTTAAAACCTCCAGCTCCTCTTCTAGAATTACCCTGTCCTGCTCACCCTGATTTATTTTTCTCCATAGCACTCAATACTACGTGACAAACCAAATGGTTTATCCATTGATTTTGTTTTTTATCTATGCTAATGTCCCCTTTAGAGTCTAAACTCCATGAGGGCAGGCATCCTATAGCTTGGTCCCAAAGCCTAGAGCTATAGGTGCCTGAAAAATATCAGCTGAATGGAGTGTCTTTTTGTTGTTATGATGGTTTTCTTCCTTACCATTCACTTTTCTTGCTTTTTTGTCCAAAAACAGCAGTACTGTACATTCTAAACATATTCTTATTTTCCAAGTTAGACCTGAATTAGGCAATAGATAAAAAGCTAACACTTTTAGAAACTCTGAATAAAATAACTTAAAAAACAAGGGGGAACCTTTGTGCTGATCTTTCTTCCCTATGTGTTGAGATGGGATCCTGAGGACGGGGAACAGCAGGGCTGGCATGTTGCCACATCTTCTGCCTGGTCCCCAGTGAGCAAGGGGAGCCCGTGCCAGGGCTCTGGTCTGCTGGCTCCCAGGGGAGTCTTTTCCCATTACATCACCTTGTTCCCTGTCACGTGCTATGCCAAAATGAAAGGATAAATTATATGTTTTATTTATGTAAAGATGTTTGTTACTGTGCATGTCAATAAATAGATTTTTAAAAACATGTTTTCAAGGCCAGAGGCATTTAATGCTTCTTTATTAAATCTTTGAGGTATGGTCTAAGATAGTCATTACAATTAAAAAAAATTATGATTGAAAAAAAATTTAAAACATTATAAAATAAAACTAAAACTCAAAAATAGCACTTCAACAAAATCTTTTTATTTGCCTCTTATTCCTTGCCCACTGCTATTCTCATAGACGTAGTTTGAAAATATACTATAATAATATGAGCTACAATTTTATTTTTAGCTTTATTTACATGGAAAATATCCTCCCATATTTTTAGGCATAACACTTCTCAAATTAGTGTCTACCCAGAACAGATTATTGATAAAATTTACTTAAATCTTTCTCATATGTTTGTATCACTTCTAGTATTTCTTTTTCTTTTTTTTTTTTTTGTTGTTGTTGATGGATCTTTATTTTTTATTTATTTGCATGTGGTGCTGAGGATCGAACCGTGCCTCACACATGTTAGGCAAGCACTCTACCACTGAGCCACAACCCCAGCCCCTCTAGTATTTCTTGACTGTGAATAACATGCCTATAAACATGTGTGTACATATAAATTTTTTCTCTGGGTGATTTCCCTGTATGAATTTTTTTTTGAGTGAAATTGCTGGATTAAGGGTGTGAAAAATGAGCTCAACTACCTTTCAAAATGTTTCTCACAAGTGCCTATGAGTGAATGCTTGCTTGCATTGGATTTTATTAGTTTGTTTTCAATTTTGCCACTTTTATAAGAAAAAGTGGCATTTCCATCGTGACTAACAAACTTGATCATCATACAAAATTTAGAGCCAAAATACTAGCAGAAAGAATTATTATTAATTTTTTACCTTGAACTATGTGATGAGTTTTTAAAAATATTG